AAAAAAAAAAAAAGTATCTCGGCTAGGACTGCAAATGAGCATTGGCCTTATAGAAAATGATGATACCAGTTATTACTAAAGTAAAAAAAAAAAGTATCTCGGCTAGGACTGCAAATGAGCATTGGCCTTATCATGATCGATTTATTTGACACCGGCTTGAGCTCGACGAGACAGCCTTGCTCGATGCTTGACTCGGTTCAACAAAAAAACATAAACGCTCGAGTTAGGCTAAAAATTAATTTAAAAATATCTAGTTATGAGGGATTAAGGTAGTTTTTATATATATTCGAGGATCGATCTTACAAACTACAGGCTCGAAAAAAACAGGCTCAAATTCGAACTTGAAATGCTCGAGCTCGGTCAAACTATTCGAATTCGAATGCTCGAGCTCAGTCTAACACGATCTCGAGCATTGACTCGATCGCTCGTGAACCGCTTGATTGCTCATAAACTGTTCGACTCGTTTACAGTAAAACATGTAACACGAGGTGATTTTAATAAAATTCGTCAAGAAAATTTTCATTTGGTACCTCAGACATGATTTCAATAATCATATAATATCTTGCTGCTGGTGAAGGATTTCAACAAACCATACATCATTTTAAAGCTCTATGTCTCGACCTATCCAACGGTACCTTTTATTTCATCTATAATATCTCAAAGTTTGTCAAAATCGTCCTTAAAGATTTAAATTTTTTCTCGACGAAATGCGCCATAATTTTTCTGGACGAGATACGAACTTTGAGATATCGTAAGATGAAATAAAAAGTAGCAGGTTGAGTCGAGAGCTCGAACTTTGAAATATCGTAAGATGAAATAAAAAGTAGCAGGTTGAGTCAAGAGCTTTACTAGTACATGTTGAAACTCGCCTTCGGCAACATCCGGCACGCGACGACCATCAAATTTAACTATATTTTTTATTTTTGGACAAAAAAAATCCATTAATTTTGATATTTTAGTAATGAAAGTTGATTAAGTTGGAACATAAGTGCCAAAATGGAGAAGATGAAAATATTGGGGTAAAAAATGATTTTGCCCCAAATTCGTCACTCTGACACTCTGTAATTAGTAAATCGTACACACTCGTACGCATCATTTTCAAGCATTCAATCCATTGTGAATCCCGAGGCGGAGTATCACCGCCACCGGCTAGATCTCCATCCCGTACGGCGGCGGCCCGGCCATCGACAGCACACGGAATACCTCCACAGCAGCTATGAGTCTCAACTCCACGTAACCCATTTCCAGTTTTCCGCTTCTAATGGCCCCGCAGATAGTAGAATTCGATAGGATTGCGTTGATTCCTCTCTCTGTAACCTCACTCTGCTCATGCCGCTCTCGGGCTAACGTGCGCCGTCTGGAATTAGGCGCCCAGCTGAGGTCCCGCAAACTGAAGTTCAAATTGGAAGTGAGTGATAAAGGGGGAGTGGGACAATTGAGAGTTCCTGCCGGTGTCCTGTTGAGACACGGGCGGCGGTTGATCACGGCCGTCGCTAGGGCGGAGCAACCGGAGCGAATCGACGATGGCGGCATAACCGAGGAGGTAGTTTTTTATGGGTAGCTTCATTTGTCACAGAACGATTTTGGCCGCTTTCTTTATTTAGTATATTTTTTCGTAGTACACACAGGTTACCCATTGCTGTGACCATATGCTGTGGCCATCAAGCATTGAAAATCTCTTTCATTTGTTCATTTGTTTTTCTGGTTGAATTAGGAATGAGTAACTTCACAAAGAATACCAAAAGAATTAAGGAACTTGCGAGTAGCATTTGGAAGAAATTTTATGTACTGATTCCTCCTAGAATTTGGAGTAATGCACAAAATTTTCTCACTGGGCATGACCTTAGTGCATTTAGATTTGTTTCATTACTGCTTTATGTTATGAATTCTTTTACTTTTCTTCTTTAGTAACGCTCAGATCACTTAAAATTGAACAACTGACATGGATATGTTCTAGGAGGTTAAACGAGGCACTCAGCTACCTGAGGAGGACGGAGTAGATTCAGAACACCGGAAAAGTGCAAGTCAGTTGAGGAAAAGGGTAATTTTTGGACTGGTTATTGGGTTTTCGGTTGGAGGAGTGGTGTTGGCTGGAGGGTGGGTTTTTACGGTGGCCCTTGCTGCAGCTGTATTTGTTGGTTCAAGGGAGTATTTTGAGCTCGTAAGAAGTCGAGGAATTGCATCTGGAATGACGCCTCCCCCTCGATATGTGTCACGAGCTTGTTCTGCTATCTGTGCTCTCATGCCTTTACTCACCCTGTAAGAGTTTCTGCCCGGTTTTAGTAGAGTGGTCTCTTTTATGTGGATCTAAGCTCTCAAACTGCGGGGTGGAACTTAACTTTTGTGATCATTTTTTTGCTGATTGCTTTAGTTTACTGGATATGTGTCTGCATTGTTAGCATAAAATTAGGATGAAGCTTGTTCCTTTGTGGGTCAGTTATGCTCCTGTCGAGAGGAAATTATTTGGTCATTCCGATGGGAGTACAAATTTTATAGGTTTCTGGTGTTTAAAATCACTTTAGAATATAACGTGAGGATTAATTTTAGAGAGTGGGAATTAATATGGGGGAAGAAAATCTAGTGTTGTCTCACATCATGATTGAAAAAGAATGTGATGTTTTCTGCTCTTTATCCTTTGTTTGTTTGGAAATAAATGTTTTTCTTTGCTTTACAAGGGGCCAGTTTTGGGTGGGGGTGGGGTGTGGAATGCAGCATGAAGCGGTGTTCAGCTCATGAACCTGGAGCATAATAAATGTCTTCAATGTGATGTTCCAGTTCATGCCTTATCTTGATGAAGAAATTGAAAAATTTGCCAACATAAACAGGCATTGTATTTCGGGACTCAAACTATATCAGATATATAACTACAGAGGGTATATCTGTGTTGACTTTTTATAATTGAAAGTTTGGATGCGTCTTTCCTTAATATCTTCTTTTAATAGAAATTACATTTGTTATAACTTGTAAGTGAACAAATTAGATTTCAGTGGACAGTGGATTTGTCTTGATTTCATTTGAGGCTGTGATTCCTCTTGCATGCTTCAGTTTCACATTTTGTCCGCTGATAATTCTCTGTCTTTCTGTCAGATACTACGGTAACATTGATGTTCCGGTGACGTCTGCAGCCTTTTTTGTTGCTATGGCCCTCCTTCTGCAGAGAGGAAATCCACGTTTTGCTCAGCTTAGCAGTACCATGTTTGGACTTTTCTACTGTGGCTACCTTCCTTGTTTCTGGGTTAAGCTACGTTGTGGTTTAGCAGTCCCAGCACTGAATACCAGTAAGATCTTTTTATTCGAGTACATCCATGATATCAGTGTTTGGCTTTGGTTTTAGTTCTGGACTTGGTGCATTTTATGGGATCAGTCTTAGCCCTTTAAGTTGCATTAGAATTAAGAACGCAAATTAAAGGGGGGAGGGGTAGATCTCAGAAAACTTGGAAAGAGACATTAAAAAATGATTTAAAATATTTAAATTTGAATGAGGATATTTGCTTTGATCGAGCACGATGGTGACATGTGATCCATATAGCCGAACCCGCTTAGTGGGATTTTAACGGCTTGTTGATTGATTGATTGAGTCTTAGCCCTTTAAGTGTGTTGTGTGCCCGCACGCGTGTTTCAGACTTCTTTTGATCTATATGGTTCTCCATGAGAGTTAGTGGACTATTTTCAGCTTCTGAATGTACGTTGATATATTCTAGTATTCTAGTAGGGGCAATTTGAGCATGTTGGGGATGATGCATCACAATGTGATTCAGTGGAATGGAAAATACACTGGAATCTAAGTAACATACAAATACATGATTTTCATGTGATAAAAGTCCTTCACTTATTAGGTGCTCTTCGGGAACGGGCTAATATTTGGAGTCCATCCTAATCATGTCTGCAAGTTGACGCTTTTAATTATTTTTGGATCCAGTATTTTGGCATCAGTGTCACCTTTTTGCAGCCGAAAATGAGGAAATTCGTTTTTCTGTATGATTTTAAAGCTGAAAATGCATACTTTATTGGCACATGTTACCTCAAGTGCCCTGAAGATTATCTGCAACCAACTCTTTATTATAGTGTTTACATTCGAGCAATTTAGCTTTGAAAATATTCATGCTGCATGGTGATCTATGTTTCTCTTGTAAAAGATTCTACTAAATGGGTTTGAACTTGGTGTATGTTATGGCAGAATGGGTAGCGTCTTGGCCTCTTCTTCTCGGTGGCCATACCATGTGGACGGTGGGTCTTGTGGCCACCTTGATCTCATTTAGCAGTATCATTGCAGCCGATACATTTGCCTTTATTGGTGGAAAGGTATTTATTTTCTTTTTAATATTTTGAATATTTGATCTTCTTTTCAATCTTCTCCTACTAACAGCCATGCAAGCCTGAGTTCAGTTGGGCAAGATAATGTGTAAGATCACATCTATTTGCTTACTTCATTTGATCTATGGGGTGCAAAATTTAGTACTGAAAGCCATTAACACATTTCATCTTGGGGGGCTAGTTGCTAGAATCCGTTTGGAAATCATGTTCAGTCTGATAATAGTGTATAATGTCCATTTGTGAAATATTTGCAATAAATTGCTTGCATGCTTCAAATCTAAACAATAGTAGTTGTAGTTCATCAATTTGCCTTTTTTGTAGGGTTTTTTTTCCCCCTTTTGCCTATTACTATTAAATGAGTATAAGGTAACTAGCACGTGAAAAGACGGAACTTAAATGGAAGAATATCATACAGGTTTTTGGCCGGACACCTCTTACTATAGTAAGCCCGAAAAAAACATGGGAAGGAGCTCTTGCTGGGTTAGGTGGATGTATAGCTGTTTCTGTCTTGTTGGCCAAAATACTGAGCTGGCCTACATCCATCCACAGGTGCTGTTAGTCCACCTCTTTCTAGTTATGTTAAGTATATATATGTATGTATATGTTACTAAATGAGGAAGTGTTAGAATTAGTTTTAAATATTGATAACGTGTTTATAATCCATTTTTATGTATGATATATCAAATTAATTGTTATTTTATATTTTATTGTTGTATGAATAGTTATTTGTATTATATGACAGTAGTTCGGTAAAACATGATTAATCTTCGTTGCCATATATTATATTTATGTTGTTGGTCGTAACTTATATTTTTGAATCTGACTGATACTTTTATAATTTGTAATTAATATATAACTCAAAATTATATTTCACAAAATTAAGTGATCCACTATTTTGATATGATAATAGTTGATAATCTATATATATAGTCCATGGTGTATATTTGTAATATTCTCTTTTAATTCAGGTTTTCTAAATTCTGACATATACTTTTATTACTGTAATCACAAAACTAAATGATCCACTATTTTGATATGATAATAGTTAATAATCTATATAGTCCATGGTGTATATTTTGTAATATTCTCTCTTAATTCAGGTTTTCTAAATTTGACATATAGTTTTATTACTGTAATCAGAATAAAAAATAAACTTAACATAATAGTACTTACTATTAAACAAATTAACATTTAAATATTATTATATATACCTTAAACTATCCTTTTACTACTCCCATTCAATCCAATGTACTACAATATAATGCAAGTTTATTTTCATATGAAATTTTGCGTGTGGAAATTATTTCAGTGCTATAGCGTATGGGATTCTGAACTTCTTCGGGTCACTTTTTGGTGACCTCACCGAATCTATGATCAAACGAGATGCAGGCGTCAAGGATTCAGGGTCACTCATTCCTGGGCATGGTAAGTACTCCATATATTTTTTTATCTCATGTTAAATGGTAACTCATGATCCTTACTCGGTTTAGATTAACCAGGCTGTAAATTTTTTCCACCTATTACGTATAAGTAGAAAAGTTACCCTTGACCAGGTAAAACCGGACGTTTGCAATCAACCCAGTTAGATTACCAAATGTGCAATTTAAGTGCCAAAACTTGAAAAATAAGTTATCCACGTTCGTTTTTAATACATTTTGTTGCATAAGCAGGTGGGATACTAGACAGGGTGGACAGCTATATATTTACAGGAGCACTGGCTCACTCTTTCGTGAAAACATTTTTACCACTCTATGGAGTTTGATCAAATGCATAGTTGACCGAGTCAAACAAGCTTTTTCACTGCTCATGTGTTTCACTGGATCAAATCTGGCGGGAAGTCTTTAGGCAAAGAATTTCAAACTTGCATATATTGTGTAATTGGTAGAGGTAAAGATATTGCACAAAGTTAATTAGCACAGATTTTATGTGTTAGAGTACAATAGCTGATTGGAACTATTATTTAAAGATTTCTGTTGCTGACAGACGAATACGATCAAGTAAATGGATGATATAGTTACCAAAATGTTTATTTTCTTGTTGTTCGACTGTGATACATAAAAGGTGTGCTCGGTGATTATATTGCCTTGTATATGTGATATTTATCCAATGGAATGTAATATACATATGGATTAGATGAATTCAATTAGTATAATGTGTAAGTTGTGTGCTGTGAAAAAAGTAGTTGAGCATCAAATTGTAATATATCACCAGAATTTGACCATGCTCAATAAGGAAGAAAAAGGTTAGCTCAATATGTACAAGGCAAATAGAGGTCAAGATGTGATGATCATCATGTGGATGGATTCTTTTGGTATTTTGTGGAACTCTTGCTTTCATGTTACTTTTTGTGTTTTATTATAATACATATACATAATGACGTCATATTTGTACAAATACATTTCATGTTTTATTAAATAGTACATTTGTAAATGAAGTCATACATGTACACATATGATTCATTTAAATGTCCCAAAGAAAAGAAATAAATTTGAAAAAAGACAACCACTTAAAATGGGATGTCACTTGGTGCTTTTTTTTTGTGTTTGACCTTTGATGAGAGATTGAGCTGATTATGACACATATTTGGGAGTCACAAAAATTGATAGAAGATAAAAAGTTGTTGGAGATAGGAAAGGAAGTTAGAGCACCATGCAAATGGAGGCAAATCTAATCTCATATATCCATGCTCATAAATTTGTATTATATTAGTTGTTGAGCCTTGAGCCTTGAGGTAAAAATAAATAAATAAATTTTACTTTCTTATCACGATGCACACAAGTAAATATATTCCACCAGTTGATGTTATAAAAAACATTAGCATACCATACACGAGATATGATGATTAAAAAAAATAACGAGATTTTAATTTATGATAAATTTTATAGTTATATACAATAGTTGTTTTCAAGGGCCCACCACAAAATGGTCTTTTTGGACAAAGAATGAGTGCCTACTTTTTTGGGTGTGCGTACATAAACCAAACAAAAATATGTGTGTGGGAAGGAAAGAATGCGTTGTTTTAAAGCAGAATAAGATGAAACAATAGAAAAAAAAGTTGAATCAAAATTAAATAGAAAAATACACACAAATGGAGAAAACTTAAAGAAAATAGTTCCGAGTAATTGTGGTGCCCCAGTTAAGCATCTACTAGAAATGGCTTTTAAGATTGTGAGACAAGCTTTTTTTGATTTATGACAATTGACAACCTTAGTGTTTTNATATTTACACACATTTGCATCACCACTACCCTTTTTTTTAGTAACTTTTGGTTACTTTGTTCTTTCTTTTACCCTCCTTTTGCCTCGGATGCTCTCTTATTTTTGGTTTTTTTTATTATTATTATTTTCTTTTATCTGATTTATATGATCTTAATGGGGTGTGTTTCCTAGTCCCGAAAATAGGTTTATATCCTAATATTATATGATTAATTAAATATAGGTTATGATTATATCTTTCCCTGATATGTAAAATAGCCGAAGTTAGAAATTACAATATATAGTTCTATAGTTGTAAATTAACAAGCCGAGTTCGAACTCCTGATATTTGAGCTCAGGCTCGAATTAATAAACAAGCTCAATCTTGGTTCGCTAACTAGCCGATCTCGAGCTTTAGCGAGCCGAATTATACTAAAATGTCATAAAATTGTATAAAAATATCCTATTTGTGAAGTCTGACGAGCCTTCGTTCTAAGCCTAAACCCTTATGAAATAACTTGAGTTTAGTTTAACAGCTCTAATTAGGTTATGATTAGAGACTCCATCACATTCTCAGCAGGGTCTTATTGGCGTACGTACATAAATCAATAATGATAAATTAAAATAAGTAACTAAAATATAAAAAATAAGTAACTAAAATATAATTCTTCAAATTCAAAGCTCAAAAATCTCTCACTCACAGGAGAAACGTGTGCATGACAAAAGTCACCACTTCAAATTTCGAAGAGAAAAATTGCATTTCGATCATACTTTCCATGTTCTTTTTGAGAATTTGCTGAAAAAAATAAAAATAAAAATTTGCCTTTTACACACCTCTTAGTAAGACCTTCTATGTGATCTCTATGTTGAGACCAACAACTTAAAATTCAATTCTCCATCAAACTTAACATATAAATCTAAATAGGGTTCCATTCTAAAACCAATTGACAATAAAAAGAGTAAACCACCAAACTTATATATTGGACTTTGAACCTTTAATTTTTCGATGTGGGACACACCCTACACTCTCAATTTATTTCTTTTTCATTATTTTCGCACACATAGAATCTGCTTTCAATTGTTTTATTGCTTGTGGTGGTGACCAAAAAAGCATATCGATATTTGGCTAGGCCTTTCAAATATTTATTTATCTTATTTTTGTGGCCTTTTTTATGGAGATATTTTTTGCCTCATATACCAATCCTTTACATCTAGTGCACTTCTCATTTTGAACTTTGACTTGTGAAGCTAATCCATTGCTTGATGTATATACTTTTATTGTTACAAATTATACTAAATACTTGTTCTTTTATTTGTTTTGAAATGTGCATTATAAATAATATTATAAATGATATATGCTTGTTTATATGTATATTATAAAATTGGACTCTAGAGAGAGAGTTGTGAGACCAATATAAATTGTGTGGATGTAATAGATATATAATTGATTTGTTTTTCAATCAGACTATGGCTTTTTTGGCGTTTATTGTTTTGGGACTAATTAAATAAAAAGGTTTAAAGGTGAACTAGAGATTCAACTCATCAGATTTTTTAATTTCGCTATTTGATAATTAGCGGTTTCAAATAATTTTTTAAATTCAAAAGGCTAATGATCAAAACTACTTATTTGAATCAATTATTTGCTATCAACTAATTTAGTCGGTTATCTACTACCTATTGAATATCAAACTGTCCTATATTTTGGATTGATTAATTTTAATTATATATCAAAAAATCTGCATGTTTTCAGCTTAGATAGAAAAAAAAAATCCGAAATTTGGGAAAAATTATCATCACCTAAAGCTAAAAGTCAAAACTATTGGTGAGTGGTTTGCCATTAGTCCATGCCCTTTTGAGTTCTAATTCTAAATTGTAATGATGAAAAGCAAAACTCTACATGATACAATACCTAGCTAGCTCTTGTTGAATTGAACCTATGTATATATGTACTGAAAGCAACTAAACACATTCAGGTTAAAAACTAAACTAAACACATTCAGGTGCGCTGCACCAAATTTCGTGGATATNTTCTAAAGTAAAATGTCGTCAAATTCGGAGGTACGAAAAATTTTTGTGTCCGGCCGCCGGAACCGGACGGATTATAAGCCGTCCGGCCGAACTTTTCGGACGGCTTCAACCCGTCCGAAAAGTTCGGCCGGTCGGAGGGGCTATGTTTGAACCGGCCGGCCGGACGGCTTAAATTTATTATGTTACATTTTATTATGTTACATTTTAGACTTGGTTATGTTAAATTTAGAGTCTTATTTATTATGTTACATTTTAGACTTGATTATGTTACAAATTGGACGTTTATCGTGTTAGGAGTTACAAATTATTATGTTACAGTTGATTATGGTATAAATTGGGCGTTAGATATTATCGTGTTACGAGTTAGAAATTATTATATTACATGTTAGTCTTGGTTATGTTATAAATTGACGTTAGATATTATCGTGTTAGGAGTAACAAATTATTATGTTACATGTTATAGTTGATTATATTAAAAATTGGACGTGAGATATTATCATGATCGTGTTAGGAGTTACAAATTATTGTGTTACATATTAGACTTTATTATGCTATAAATTGGACGTTAGATAATATCATGTGATGAGTTACAAATTATTATGTTACATGCTAGAAAAAATTATCTTAATTTAACATGTTCTAAAAATATAAAATATTGTACTATATAACAGGAGTCATGGGAAGATTTTGGAGGAGATGGTGTTGATTACAGTCTGAGTTTCGATACCTGTACATTATTTAAGAGTGTTCAGGACGCTATTGAAGCTGCAAAACACCAGGCAATGCTGAATGGTTTTCTATTAATAGTTTCGAGCCACAAAAAGAAAACGGTCAGGCTTTTGAAGTGCCATAGAGGCGAACGGTACAGAGGCACAGGCGGAAATTCTAGAAAGAAAAAAACGAATAAGTGCGGCTGCAATTTTGAGATCAAAGTAAAAAAGGTGTCCGGCGCTCCATACTGGAGGATCTGTAGATGTAGCAATGAAAAGAAGGGCTACCATAACCATACATTTGCTGTGTATCCTGAGGGTCATCGCCAGTTGAGCGGCCTCAGCGCTTCATCTAAGAAAATTGTTCGTGATATGACGGATGCTCAGGTGGCCCCGACAAAAATTATGGCCGCGTTGAAGGAAAAGAATTCGGGAGACAACGTTCATGTGCGACATGATATATATTTATATCTTGTAATATATGTTTTAATTAACTTTTTGAAGTTAATTATGATAATTATTAATTTTTTATATGTAAAAGTTATTGTAATAATTAATAAATTTTATTATATTTACTAATGTATTATTATTGTGATAGTTAATAATTTTTTTATCAAATTAATCGCATTAATATACGTTTTTATTTATTAATATAATATATATTTTTTAAATTATAATAATCATTATAATTAACGTTAATCGGTGACAGTTATATAACTTTAGAGATAAGCTGTAGAAAGAGAGTTTCGACGGTAGAGACGTTCCTTCCCAGCTTATGCATTTGGCCGTGAGCAGCGAGTATACAGTTTATGCAAAAAAAAAAAATTACCTTGCTAGAGAAGAATGTTTTGCCGAGGCCGTCGGATTTTTTCGACATTTTTTCGGATTTTTTTCGGTGCTCGAATCGCTCGTTAAAAGTTTGAGAATTTAGAGAGATAGAATCTGAAAAAAAGTTAAGAGCAAAAGAGTAAATTGGGGAAAGGCGGTGACTAGTAGTAAAAGGGGGCGGTGAATAGCAATTGAGTTTTTTTTTTAACGGATGTATGTACTTACAAATAAAATTCATATATTCTATGACTATGAGTCAATCAAAATTACCCCGTCAATAGATTTTAATCCATTATACCAAATGACAATAGTTATTTGTACTAAAAAAATAACTCAAATTCTTGAGTGAGACAATATACTTGTTGAGCAGATTAAGTCATCATATATTTATAACAAAAATGTGTAACTTATGCTTAATTTTATTT